ATTTCCCTGAGCAGCTAGCCATGCAATCCCCCAAACTCAATTACCTTTTGTGAAGCAGCAGGAGCATGACACCTCCTAGCCATATTGATCAGTGCAGACTGGGTGGGACGTGAGAGACCTGAGAGATGCTAAGCAGCAATTTCTGGGCTTTTGCTTCCTTAGAAGGCCTCCCTTCTCTGAGTTCCTAGAGACTCTGGCTTTAATAAAATGGAAGTCTGTGCCTCAAATGGGCTGAGCATGCAAGAACCCTCTCTCAGCAGCCTCTTTAGAAGCAGGCTGATGCATATGGTCACAAGACTGGAACTTGGAACCCTGGACTGACCAGTGCCAGAATGGTTTTCTAACTGTAGCTCTTTGCACACACTGGGTTTTGCAAGCAATTGCATGATATGAACTCTGAATGCCATTGCAGCTAGAAAAAGTTTGGAAGGAGACACACCCAACTGTGAACAGACAGAGGAATGGAACTTGTGGGAATTGGGGGTTGGGTAGTCTCAAGACTTCAGCTTTATCTATATGGAGGATTTCAAGTTTCTATCCTGAGAAAATATTCCTAGATTACTTGTGTAATTATTAACCATAAGTAAAAGTTAGAAAAACAAGAAATTGTTTTAAAAAACAACAAAAAACCCATCCAAAATAAAAGCAAGCCATTGTAGACACTTTTCAGAGGTTACTGCTGCGCAAAGATCCAAGTGGTGTGACTGTTAAGCTTGTTGGGGGAGAAAAGGTTGCTTGGGTGGGGGGATGTTGGGGATGGCTAGAGAGAGCTTGCAGGAAGAGAAGTGGAGAGGGCTAGAGAGAGCACCCTAGGCAAACAGACCTTTTTAAAAAAGAAAGTTAACCTTTACTATTTTTTTTCTTTTCCTACAAGTATGATGGGTCCATTACAGACAAATGAGAAAATACAGATAAGGAAAATGAAAATAAAAAATCCCCTCTAATTCCGCCATTCTAGTATGGTCACTGTTAACATTTCAGTACATTTCCCTCCAGATTTTTTTTAATGCCAAAATATACATGCTTATTTTATAAAAATCAGATAATTATGTACACTCTAGAATATAATTTCCAATGGCTATATTAGTGACTGCTACAATTGCACCATGATTCATTTAATCATTTAAACAAATTGTCTCTAACATCAGGTGTTTGGGTTATTTCCTTATTATCATAAACAACAGTGCTCTGTAGCTATGTGACAGTGGGAAAGCTAGTCAATTTGTCCCTGCCTCTGGTTTCTCATTTGGGAAATGAAGGTGATAACTACCTCACCTCAGTAACTACCTCATAGGGATGTTGTGGGTATCAAATGAGATCGTGTAGGTAAAGCACTTGGCGCAGTGCCTGGCACAGTAAATGTCAGCTCTTATTATTAGGTATAATAATGATAATAATTATAGTTATTGTTGTTAATAGAGTGGGTTTTCTGTTTTGGTTTAGGGGGAGGGAACAGCGACTGGAATTTTTCTTTTTGTGTACACTATAGTGAGCTCTGGGGTCAGACAGAGCTGTGTGCTTTTTGTCATGTCAATTCACCTCATTAAGGCTCAGTTTCCTTATCCACAATCTGGAAATTAAAAGGACCTAACTCACAGGCTAGTTGCAAAGATCAAATGAGATAATGCTCGTGAAGCCCTCAGCAGCATTCTTGGCATATGGGAAGAGTTCAGTCAAGATCAGTTGGTATCATTATCATTATTATTATTACTACAATGATTCAGCCATTTGTAATAAGAAAGTTTCCTTTCTTGGTGGCGCGGGGTTGGGGGTGGGGTGGGGGAGATGGCAGTGAGTAGAGCACTTAGAGTGTTTCTAATTGCTTGTCCCATTATAAAGAGGGAAAGTGATTTTGGAACCAGACTGATTGGGGCTCAAGTCTGGGCTTTGCCATTAACTAGCTCTGTGACCTTGGTCACATAAACTTCTCCAAGCCCGCTTCCCCATTTATAAAATGGGAATGATGTCATTGCCTACCTTATGGGTGTTGCTAGGAAGCCCAAATGATATAACTCACATATAGTGCTCAGTTATTGTTGGTTGCTAACATAAGGTTTGTAATGGCTTGAATGCTTCCCTCGCCAAACTGAGTCCCTGTACCTGGGCTACTTACATCTCACCTGAAGGCTTTGCCCTATTCAGGGCCCAGTGACCAATTCTGCCCCTAGACTGAGGATTTAAGTGGTAGTGATTCAAGAAGACTGGAGGACTCTGGTAAACCTTTCTGCTAGTTCTACTCTGACCTTGTGCTCCAGTTCTAGAAAGCAGGCTACAGCCCTGTTTCTATGGGCAAGCCATCACCTGGTATGCTCAAGGCTGGTGTGTTTTTCCTGCCAGCTGTCTGAAATCCATGGAGCCCTGCTATTGAATCCTGGCCCTGTGGCAGGGACGCTGGTTGCCAGATTTCCCCCTGTGTCTCTGACACTGGGGCAAATTGGCTTTTTTATGATCATGATTGCAGGGCTCTTTTAAGGTGTTTGCTCCCCAGCCTCAATGCCCATCCTCCCAACCCCCAGGTTGCCTGCATGTGAACCTCCTTGAACATTTCTGATGCTGTTCCACACAGTCTCCAGCCCTGGTTCCCCTACTTTTAAGCTCCTGCCTGTGCTTCCATATGAGACCAGTTGCAGCGCCTGGCTTCCAGGACTCCTGTGTCTGCCCAACTGCAGAGGGTGTAGGTCTCATTTCCTGAGTTGGTACCCTTTCAGTCTCATCTCTTTACTTGTGTCAATCTCCTCTTTTCTTTGGGACAGCCAGAGGCAGGCATAGTGGGTTGGAGTGTAGGCTGGTGGGACTATTGGGGGTGAGGGGGAAGAGGAGTGGAGTTGCATAGGCCAAGTGCTAAAGTAGAGCTTCTGGAGGGCTGTCAAGTGAAAGGCGGCCAGAGGCAAATGTCAGAGCCTATATAGAGGCAGGAATCTGGGACCAGAGAGACAGAGCAAGCACTAGCAAGTCAGGAGCAGTGGGGCAGGTGGGCGGGCAGGCTGGCTGGCGGGCAGGAGGGGGGCGTGGCAGGGGATAGCTAAAGGAGATTGCAGAGAACAGCTGCTGGTACTGGGTCTTACTTGCAATGAACTGGCTGGGCACGGGGTATAAGTCAATTGGCCAGACTAAAAGATCTGGGGGTGCAAAGGACACTCTTCCCCTCTTTTCTGTAACTGGCAAGGTAAGATCTTTCTGAGTTTTGCCTGGTGGGAAACTGTGGCATGTTTAGGGATTTTTCTAAGGATGGGAGATGGAGATCTATGACTGCTCTTTTGATTCATCTTTCCCATTGCCCCAATTCTTAGAATAACCAAGGTGTCAGCCAGTATTTCTTTTAGGACACTCCATCTTGGGGTTGTCCAAGCTGGAGATAGAGGGAGGGGTCTTGGTAAAGTGACTGAGTGAGGGGGAAAGGTGTGTCATTATAGCATAGAGGTGAAGAATAGGGGGCTTTGGAGTTAGATGGACCTGGGAATCTATGTGACTGCAGACAAATTATTAAGCTTCTCTGGGCCTTCACTTTCCCATTTGTAAGATGAAAGAACAGAACTACCAAAGTCTCTTAGTGTTGCTGTGGGGACCAAATGACATTATACATGTGAACTGCCTAGCAGAGTGCATGCCAGTCAGTGCATGCTCAAGAAATGTTCACTGTTGGTATTTCTGTTGCTAGTTTTCTCACTATTACTATGGAGGCACAAGTCCATGAGACTGATGACTTTTGTGACATTGTCCCAAAGTTGCAAGTCTTCCAGTTTTGGCATAGGCAGGCTCTGGGGATGTGTCAACATTGTGTAATATCTGCATTGGTTTACAAGCTGCATGTCAATGAGCCCCTTCAGGGGCTGCTTGTGGGAGTGGGCTGGAGGGGCGGGGGCTCTAAGATTGCCCACCCCCATGTCATCAGAGAAACCTGAAATTTGTACATGCTATAGACTAATGAGCCAGGTCAGAGAAATAATTAAATGCAATCTTAGGGATGTCAAAGAGTAGGCAACCCCAAGGAAGAGATGAGGGTTAAAGACATACAGTTTGTTACTGTGGCAGTGACCCTATTTTAGCCCCAACTCTGGTTAATCTGAGAGGACTAGTAAAATGGGAATAATAATACTACCTGTCATGCAGAGTATTGTAAGACCCAAATGGGATAATGCTTGCAAAGCCTTGCACATTGTAGACAGTTTAAAGTTGTGTACAGTTGCCTAAAGTACAGTGCCTGGCACATATTAAGTGAACAGTAAATAGTAGTATTTATTTATAGTAGTGGTGGTGGTGGTTATTGTTATTAATAATAATGATGATAATAATAAGAAGGACGCTCAGTTCATGGAATGCTTGCTGCTCCTAGTGATTGATTAGATAAATGCCTTCCTTTTTCTGGAGGATTTTCAGGGCCATCGGGGTAGTAAAATGGGGACCATTGGCAGGATTCAGGGAACCCTAGGAACTAATGATTATCCTTTGGGAAAGGGCTTTCCTGTTCAGGCCTGCCAATACCTTGGCCAGCTTGCGAGTGCTGCGGTGGGATGGAGTGGAGCCCAGGACCCCACACTTCCCCCAGTTGGCCAGAAGGTGGTGCTGCCGCTTCATTCGATCCAGGATTGCCCAAGCTTGTGGCTGCTGAGGTTGCTGGCATTTATAGCTTTTATAAGTGGAGAGACTGTGCTGTGTAACTGAGTGGGTTGGTTTGAAAAGGATAGAGGCAGAAGGGATATTTGCTGCAGCTTCAAAGTTGTTCATTGCTGCACAGCTTCTTTAACCTGATCAGCTCATCTTCAATGCCGCATACCTGGCAGCATATAAAAACAGGCCTCTAGCATGAATCATTTGTCTTTTTCCCAATCTTTTTGATATTGGCTTTTGATCTCTAAACTTGTTTCCTGTTTACAGATTTTCTGGCTACCTGGGCTTCAGCAGGACACCTGATATCATAACGTTAGGGGCTCCCTCTGCACTGTCCTGTCCTGTGGCCAAGGCAGATATATCAGTACCCTTACATTCACAGCAATTCAACAATATGATGAGGGAGGATAATAGTGACTCCTCAAACAGGGAGACAACCTTCTCTAGACCAATGACAGAGACCACAGCAGAGGCCCAAATTCTGCATTCTCATGCACAGTTGCCTACAGTCTCAACTTCAGCTTCAGACCCTGGAGGGATATCTACACAGCTGATGACATCCCCGGCCTTTGACACCATGTCCACACCTCTAATGGGAACACCAAATTCTGGAGCATTGTCCCCACCATTAATGTCAAACTCAGACTCTGAGACACTGTCCCCATTGCTAATGCCAACCTCAGACCCTGGAGCACTGTCTCCATTGCTAATGCCAACCTCAGACCCTGGAGCACTGTCCCCATTGCTAATGCCAGCCTCAGATTCTGGAACATTGTCCCCATTGCTGTCCACTTCAGACTATGGGTTAATGTCCCCAGGGATGATGACTATTCCTGATTTTGGAACGATGTCCGCAGCACTAATGGCAGCATCAGATTCTGTAGAGTTATCACCATTGGCAATGCCAGTTCAATCCTCTGGAACAATGTCTACACCTATAATGAGCACCTCATCCACTGAGGCAATGTCCACACCGTTAATGCTAGCTTCAGATCCTGGGGCGATGTCCCCACTCCTAACACCAGATATAAACCCTGGAGTGATGTGCACACAGCCAATGCCAGCTCCAGGCTCCGAAGCAATGTCCCCACTGCAAATTACAGATGAAGACACTGAAGCAATGTCGAAAGTGCTAATGACTGCCTTAGCCTCTGGAGAGATATCTTCACTGCTAATGTCAGACATGGACTCTGAAGTGATATCCTCACTGATAATGTCAGCTTTAGCTTCTGAAGAAACATCAACCCAGCCAACAAGCACCCAAGACTCTGAGGGAATGTCCACTCCACTCATGACAAGCCCAGACTCTGGAGTAATGTCTTCACTGCTAATGTCGGCTCCAGGCCCTGCAGCACAGTCCACACCACTACGGTCAGTCCCAGATGCTAGAGAAATATCCACATTACAAAAGCCAGCTCCTGACACTGAAGCAATGTCCTCACTGCTAATGATGGCCCTAGCCTCCGGAGTGATGCCTGCCCAACCAAAGCCAGCCCCAGGTTCTGGAGTGATGTCCCCACGGTTAACACAAAAGCTGGACTCTGAAATCATGTCTGCTCCACCAATGACAGCAACAGCCTCTGGGGTGATGTCCACCCCACCAATGAAAGCTTCAGGCTCTGGAGCAATGTCCACACCGCTAATGAGAGCCCCAGCCTCTGGAAATATGTCCACGTTGCAAAAGACAGTTCCAGCCTCTAGAGCAATGTCCACCCCACTGATGACAGTCACAAGTTCTGGAGCAAGGTCCACAGAACAAATGTCAGCCACAGCCTCTAGAGTGATGTCCACACAGTTAACAATGGCCAAAACTTCTGGAGCAATGTCCACAGGCTTTATGAAAGCCACGGCCAGTGGAACAATGTCCACACAGCGAATGAGAGCACCAGACTCTGGAACTGTGTCCACACCGCTAAGGAGAGCCTCAGCTTCTGAAGTGATGTCCACGCAGCCAGTTATGGCCACGGCCTCTCAAATAATGTCCATGCCACAGCTGACAGCCTCAGCCTCTGGGTCAATGACCATGCTGCAAATGAGAGCCCCTGTCTCTGAAGCAATGTCCATGTCACAAATGAGAACCACAGCCCCGGGATTGACATCCACATCACAAATGAGAGCCATGGCCTCTGGATCAACGTGCACACTGTTAATGAGAGACACAGCCTCGCGAGTAATGTCCATGCCACAAATGAGCGCTCCGGCCTCTGGAGCATTGTCCAAGCCACTAAAGACATCCAAAGCCTCTGGGACAATGTTCATGCAGCAAATGACAACTGCAGCTTCTGAAGAGATGTCCACACTGCTAATGAGAGACACAACTTCTGGAGCTCTGTCTGTGCAACAAATGACAGATGTAGCCTCTGGAGGAATGTCCACACAGCTAATGAGAGCCACAGACTCTGGAGCTATGTCCAGGCCACTAATGAGAGCCCCAGGCCCTGGAGTAATGCCCGCATCGTTAATGAGAGCCACAGCCTCTGGAAACATGCCCAGTCAGTCTACAAACACCCAAGACTCTGGAGGGATGTCCACGTTGCTCATGAGATCCATGACCTCTGGAGGAATGCAGACAAGAGCGCCAGCCTGTGACATGATGTCCACACCAACAATGAGAGCCTGGGCCTCTGGAGCAATGTCCACACCACTAAGGAGAGCCTCAGACTCTGGAGAGATGTCTGCACTGCTCACAAGAGCTTTATCCTCTGGTGAGATGTCATTGCCACTGAGACCCCCAGCTTCTGGAGGGATAGCCACCCCTCTGAAATCCCCAGCTTATGGAACAATGTCTGCTCCACAAATGACAGCCACAGCCTCTGGAATGATGTCCATGCCGCAAATGAAGGCTCCAGTCTCTGGAGCAATATCCATGCCGCTAATGAGATCCACAGCCTCTGAAGCTCTGTCCATGCCTCAGATGACATCCATAGCCCCTGGAGGGATGTCCATGCCGCTGATGAGAACCCCAGTCTCTAGAGCAATGTGCACACCAAAAATGATACCCACAGCTTCTGCAGACATGTGCACAGTACCAATGCGAGCCCCAACCTCTGGAGGGATGTCCCCACCACTAGTAAAAACTCCAGCTTTTGGAACTATGTCCATACCACTAAGGAGACCCTCGGCCTCTGAAGCTGTGTCCACAGAGTTAATGAGAACTCCAGCCTCTGGAAAGATGTCTATTACACAAATGACAGCAATGGCCTCTGGAGGGATGTCTATGCCACTAATGAAAACCACGGCCTCTGGAGCAATGCCCACACTGCACACCAAAGTTGCAAGCTGTAGATCTATGTCTTTGCCACAAACAACATACACAGCTTCTGGAGGGATGGCCACATCACGATTGAGAGGCTCAGCTTCTGGAGCAACGTCCACACCACTTATGAGAGGCTCAGCTTCTGGAGCAACGTCCACACCACTTATGAGAGGCTCAGCTTCTGGAGCAACATCCACACCACTTATGAGAGGCTCAGCTTCTGGAGCAACATCCACACCACTTATGAGAGGCTCAGCTTCTGGAGCAACATCCACACCACTTATGAGAGGCTCAGCTTCTGGAGCAACATCCACACCACTTATGAGAGGCTCAGCTTCTGGAGCAACATCCACACCACTTATGAGAGGCTCAGCTTCTGGAGCAACATCCACACCACTTATGAGAGGCTCAGCTTCTGGAGCAACATCCACACCACTTATGAGAGGCTCAGCTTCTGGAGCAATGCCCATGCCACTACTGAGAGCCACAGCCTCTGGAGGGATGTCCATGCCACAAAAGACCACCACAGCCTCTGGAGGAATGTCTACACCCCTAATGAGGGCCCCAGCCCCTAGAGCAATGTTCACACCACAAACAGCCTTTGGGATGATGTCCACTCTGGAAATCAAAACCACAGACTCTGGAGGGGCATCTACCTCTTACATCAACACCACAGCTTCTGGCTCAAAGTTCACACCTTACATGACTGCCACAACTCCTGATACAATGAACCCACCACCAAAGGAAGTGCCATCCTTCGGAATGTTGACCCCAGCACTCTGTTACCTCTTGGAAGAGCAGGAAGCGGCCCGGGGTTCATGCTCTGTGGAGGAAGAGATGGAGGTTGATGAGGAGAAGCAAATGAAGGGATTTTTGGACGATTCAGAGAAAATGGCGTTTCTGGTGTCTCTTCATCTGGGGGCAGCAGAGAGGTGGTCCATCTTGCAGATGACGGCAGGAAATCCCCTCTCAGATGAAAATAAATCTTTCCTGAGAAGATCACAGGGTTTATATGACTCCCTATCTGAGATAGACATACTCAGTGCTATTCTTTGCCATCCCAAGCAGGGCCAGAAGTCAGTCAGGCAGTATGCCACTGACTTCCTCCTGCTGGCCCGACATTTGTCTTGGTCTGATGCCATTCTACGGACTAGGTTTCTGGAAGGACTTTCGGAAGCTGTTACCACCAAAATGGGTCGGATCTTCCTGAAGGTGGCCAGCAGCTTAAAGGAGCTGATAGACAGGTCTCTCTACACTGAGTGCCAGCTGGCTGAAGAGAAGGGTTCCCAGGGCAAGTCAAGCCAGGTTCGTCCAACAGCCTGTAAGCGGAATAATGAGGAGGCCATGGAGAATGAACTGAGTTCTCAGCAGCAGACTGAGGAGGTAATGATGGGGAAATACACTCTGCTCCTTTGCATAGAATAGGGAAGAGGCAAGGGGAGTAATTGAGCTGCTAGCAAGCATGGTTATGCAGTTAGTTTGGGTGTATGAGCCACTCTGAGGAGCAGTGTCCCACCCAAGTGACTGAGGACCTGGGATGGTTAAAATAGTGTCTTCTGATTATGAGGGAATTGGCGAGGCTCAGTCCCAACTCTCCACTTATTCCAACTGTGATTCTTAGGGAGAGGTCTTCTTTTGAGTGCTGGGTCCCACCTACAGCCACATGTGTTATGGACTCAGGTCACTAGGGAATTTGGCTAGCTTGACCTTTGTTCATACTTTCTATGAGTAAGATAAATTAGCCGAGTTCCTTGATCTGCTGAGTTATTGAACTTATCCAGGCAGATAACATCCCTTGTTATTAAGTATGGCCCTCACCTCTGCTGTTTTTTTGTCTCACTCCCAGCACCAGCATGTTCCCAAACGCTGTTACTACCTGAAAGAGCATGGAGACCCTCAAGAGGGTCTTCACGACCACCTTCGACAGAGCACAGGCCATCAGAAGGCCCCCACTGACAAGTAAAGCTCCCTGGATTCTTTTCCTGCGACATCTGACTCGGCTGCTAACTTGAGGACTGGTTCCTGGACCCATTCCATTCAACTACATCATAAGCCTTGTTGCCTTCACCCTCCTGCCGCCGCCCCCCTCTCCCCCAGGCACATCCCATCTTATCTCCCACTTGGCTGACTTGACCTTCTCTTTCACCCACATGCCTGTGACCTGCCCTGACAATCAGTGTGGACTACAAGAGCGTATGGTGTACCATTGAGGCCAGTCCTAGTTCTTGGTCTAGGGAGACGTCTAGGCAGGAGAAATCATATCCTACCTCAAAAATACCTCAGAGTGTCTTGCTATGTGTCATCAGGCAAAGTTGAGGGAACCCTGGTTCCATTTTGCCTGACAGGGGAGCCAATAAGGAGAGCGATGCCCACTCCTGTACCACCCTTTTAACCCAGCAGACTTGTCCATACATGCCCCAACTCATAGCACCTAGAATGGGTCTCCAGGGCCCTTGCCCTGTTTATATTCTCCATCCTGAACCATTTGTTTTGACCCATAATAATCATAATAATAGTGATAGTACTGGCTAACAGTTGTTGATAACGTACCATGTAACAGGTACGGGCTAAACCCTTGACAAGCACCATCTCACTACATTCTTACAGTAACCCAACTTGTTCTAGTGTTGTCAGCTTCTGACCTCTTGATCTGCTGTTTATGGTCCTTGTCATGTCTCTCACTGTGGAATTTCTAGCTCTGACCTCTGGGTGATCGCATCACTTGTTAGTTGCCCTCACTCCCCTTGGCTATTTTGCTTCATGGCCAGCACTCTTGATAAGGGTCTTGGTCTCTAAACAGGCATAGATAGTTAGAACATAATATGAGCATTGTTTGCCTTCAGGTGGTGGAGTTATGGGTGTTTTCTATTTTCTTCTTTCTACTTCTCTGTACTTTCCAGATTCTCTACAGCAAGCATGTATTACATTTGTAACCATAAAAGTAAATAAAGTTCATTTACCACAAAAGCAATTCATTGTGGCTACTGGAATTCGACTTATTCAGTCCTTCATTCAACCAATATTTATTATCTTATGTGTCAGCCACTGTTTTGGGGACAGACAGATAAGAACCTTGCCCCAATTACCAGGGCTGTTGCCTCAGGAAAAAGAGGGTGTAATAAGTTGGGAAACACAAATTCCAGGTTGGGGGGGCGGCTGGCCTCTGGAGAGACAGCTTTCCCGCTCTTCTCTGGGCCTGTTGGCTCACACCTGGCTCAGTCCAGGCCCGAGTGGACTTCGGACATCCATGTTCCACCAGGATTGCTCTTAGCTAAGAAGAGCACTGAGTTTTCTCTGTATTGAAAAAAGAAATCAATGCTGTAGAAGTCACAACTCATGTCTGGAAAACGTATACAGGAAGGAAAATGTCTTAAAAATGAAACTTGTTTTCTCATAGCTGTGATAATGAAGATCAATAGCAGTTATTTTCCTTATATTTTCTCCCCAGCCAATCTTCTTCCTTTTGCTTTTACCTCTTCTTTCCTTCATGCCAACATCACTAGAGACAAATGGGACAAAGCCCAATCGTATTCCATCAGAGCTCAGTTCCCGTTTTTCTACCCACCCCAAAGGTTATATGTAGAAGTGTTTCAAGAGCCACTCAGCATCTACACAAAGCTGGGCTATCACATGCCCAACTACTTGTGACAATTTCCTCTGCTGAAAAGTGGTGTTTCAAGTATCTCCAGGCCTCACTGGCCCATGGGGAAAAATAAGGTCCCATAAGTAGGAAAAACTCAGATGTCACCAACCCTTGTCCCCACCTGTGTTATAGGTCCTCAGTCCTTTGAAAGTTTTCTCTGGTTATTTGTGGAAGACTCTACCAGTCTCATGTGCTCTAAAGTTGTCCTCTCCTGTTGTTTGGCTGTGGGAACACTGGGTCCTGCTGGCGGAGGAGTGGATTCTGGGGCGCTTAACAGCTGCCCATCCTCGTGGGGCCTAAATGGGGCCGCCCTACCTTCTGGCAGCTTTGGATGAAGGCACAGATGGGTTTACGCAAAAGGATGGGAATGCCCCTTTTAGTTCTGTCCCAGACTCTGTCACCTGGATGCTAAAATGACATTGCTTCTACCGTGTGTCTCAGTGAAGCCCCTGTGAGAAAAATGGCTTCAACTTCTTCCTGCAGTAACATCTCCCTGTCTGGCTCAGACTTTCGGACTTGATTCCTGTGCCTGGAGAGAAAAAGCCCTCAGGTCCTCTGTCCAGAGTCACCCTTCAGCCTCCATTCTTGTTCTTCTACCTGGTCTCTATCCTTGCCCACCCAAGGCATGGTAAATCCACAGATCTCTTCAAAACCACTTTGCTCCCTGTGATGAGATGCCAGGAACCCTCTCCACGCACACAGTCCTTAGGGCATGGTTGGAGGGCAAATGTCATCGTGTCCTGTTTCTCCATCCTTCTGCCATCCTCTCACTCACCATCTGGTCTCTGTCTCTGCTCCTCAGGAACCAACAGTATATAGAACCTTCTCTTAAAGACCACTGTCCCTATGTAAGTACAAGTTAGGGCTGCCGCTGAATGACAAATCCCTCAGACAGTTGCCAGATATTTCTGAGTCTCATTTTGGGCTCAGCCAGGACCCCACTACACCAGAGTAGTTTGATTAGATCAAATGAGGGACACTTTTCCTCCATTTCTTCCAATAGACCATTGCTCGAGAACTTGAGGCACCCTTAACCTCATTCTCCAACTAGAATATTACAGATAAAATTCTCCAACTAGAAAATTACTCGCCGTACCTCAGAGGTAGAGAGAAATTTCCTCCCTGCCCCATGTGTTGTGTATTTCCTTCCTTTTCACCTGGTCCGAAAGCTCTGTGCAGCTGGGCCAGCTATGGGTTAAGGGAAGCAAGCTGCTAGATCTCTTGTGACCAAATAGAAGATTTAGCAGAATAAACATTGTAGAAAGTTGAAATGACCACTGAAAAGGGGAGACTTGACTGTGAGCAGCTCTGTAAGATCTTGTTATTATCTGTTAAAAGGGATCAGAATATGCCACCCCAAATATGCTGCTTTGGCATTAGAATCATTTTGAGCTGAAGGCAATTAAGCAACAAATGCAAAAAGAGCTCTTTGCCCTCCTTCTGTCTGCCAAAAAGCAGGATATAAATTTCCCTTTGTGAAAGTGTTCCCCCTCTTCTCTCCCCATACTATGAGGAAGACAACCATTGTCACTGAAGGCAGAAAGTCGGCACTTATACAGATCTATACAAGTAAACCTTTCTAAAATAATCCTTATCTTCCATTAGTTTCCCCCATATATTTATCTTCCCACAATTTACTGCCCCTAGAAGCCCAAACCCCCTTTCCTTTGTATTCTCACTTCTCCACAAATTATGACCCTTTGTTAAAATGGTATATAAGCCCCTGGGTCTGTTTCTTTGTGTCTTCACTTCTTTTTTATGAAGGCCTCTGTGTTACTAAAAATGAACATATTAACATCAAATAAAATTTGTGTGCAATTCCTGCTGTTAATCTGTCTGTTGCCAGTTTAATTTGCAGGCCTCAGGTACATAATATGAGAGAGTAGAGAAAAATTTTTTTCCTCCCCTGCACTGTAAACCTAAGGTTCTCCCTGAGGGGGTTAAGAAGTGGGTGGGGGAGGATAGGGCTAGTTGGGACATATTCAAGATCCAGTCTCTTCAGGGTTTCTATTTAAATTGTGGGGACAGGTTTAAAAGTAAATCCATGGCCAAAGACTGGCAAAAGCCACAGTTTAATATTAGCAACTATTGAGCACTTAATGTGGGCCCACGGTCTGAACTAATTACATTATCTTGATTATCTCATGTAATCTTCACAACAACCCTGAGAAGTAGGTGGTCTCATTAATTCTATTTTATAGACCAGGAATCTGAGGCACAGAGAGGTTAAGTAACTGGCCCAAGGCTACAGAGCTAAGAAGCAGCAGAGCTGGGATTTGAATACATGCAGTCCGACCCCAGAGCCCACATATACAACTGCTCCACTATATATACAGCTTCGTTATTCAGAGCCAGATGGCCCCTGTGAGGACTCATCCTGTTCTGAATAAATTTGCCACTGAACAGCAGCCAACATTGGAAACTCGTAATGTTGGAGGACTGAGCAAAAACTTCCCCTTCCCCATCTTAGATCTAGAAGTGAATCCTCCTGGGGATATTTGGGGAAAGTCTTCAATATTCAAGGAAAAGAATCAATAATTGTGGAATGCTATTGAGCTTAGGAGGTTCGGCCCAGGGTCTAGCTGTAGCCTCAGAGTGGAGCAGCCTCTGTTCTGAGCTCTGGCCTAAGAAGGAGGCTAAGATTCTCCCTTGGGGATCTTCCCTTTGAGAAGAAATTCATTTTAGGCCCAGGGATCTGTGGAAGGGTACAGGACTCTGAAAGTGGAAGGGATTTTTATGGTTACACCGAGAGCTGATACTTCTTTCTCAGCACTTATTTTTCCCTCTTTTTCACTTCTCCCTTAGGAAAGGGGAGAAGTGTGAAAGGAAGGAAGATGATTAGTTGCTTAGATACTTCATACCGGTGCCCACTACCACCCCCTCCAATGGAAGGTTAATCTAGTTCTAACATTGGGGGAAGGTACACACACTAAAAAGGCACCAGACACTTCCAGTTTCAGCAACTTGACAGAGATAATCTACAGTGGCTTCTCCCATTATAAACTCAAAGAAATGCTGGATAAAGTGTGGGAAAAAACTCATAGTTGAGCCTGAAATAAACAAAGGGAAATCCCCAGGGGCAGAAGACAAAGCACAATCTTAATGGAAGACCAATAAACTCTTGAGCCCTCTTGGGCCAGAGTGGTGGAGTCAGGAGAGATCTGGGCTAGCTGACAATGAAATGTTTAGCTAGCATGTGAGGAACAAAACTGTGAATCTCTAATTCTGTACACACTGCTCAGCTTCCACTCAAGGGTCAGTATGAAACAAAGACATTTTCTGACAAAGACTGAGACAATTCACCATTCATAAAAAGGTGCTGCACTGAGAGCGAGGCTGGACCTGGGGAAGCTGGCAAGATTAAAAAAAAAAAAAAAAGGCCCCCACCCTTTAACAACCTTTGCTGAGAATTTTACTGATCTAAACACTGATGTGTAAGTGGTTATGGAATGGACTGACCCTTGCTTTCCCACAATTTCCTCTAATATATATTTTTTAATTAATTAATTTTTTTGGTAACAGCTTTATTGAGATATATTCACATGCCACATAATTTACCCATTTAAAGTGTAAAGTTCAATGTTTTTTAGTATATTCACATAGTTGTGCAATGATTGCCACAATCTAATCTTAGAACATTCTCATCACCCCAAAAAGAAACCCTGTACCCTTCTTTAGAAGTCACTCCCCATTCATCCCTCCCTCTAGCCCCTGGAAACTACTAATCTAATCTCTGCCTTTATGGATTTACCTCTGGACATTTCATATAAATGGAATCATATTTCATGTGGCCTTTTGTGACTAGCTTCTTTCACTTAGCATAATGTTTGCAAGGCTCATCCATGTTGTAGCATGTATCAGTACTTCATTTCTTTTTCTAGCTGAATAATATGCATTGTATGTATGTGTGTATAGATATATGTATATATATATATATACATACATATACATACTACATTTTGCTTATACATTCATCAGTTGATGGACATTTGGGATGTTTCTACCTTTTGGCTATTATGAATACTGCTGCCATGAAATTTGTGTACAAGTTTTTGTGTTAACATACATTTTCATTTCTGTTGGGGAGATACCTAGGAGTAGAATTGCTGGAGCATATGGTAACTCTATGTTTCACCCTTTGAGGAACTGCCAGACTGTTTTCCAAAGGAGATGCACCATTTTACGTTCCCACCAGCAGTATGTAAGGGTTCCAAGTTCTCCACATCCTTGTCAACACTTGTTGCTATCTGAGTTTTTGATGATAGCCATCCCACTGTGTGTGAAGTGGTATCTCATTGTGGTTTTGAATTGTATTTTCCTGATTGATA